CAAATCAGAAAATCAGAAATCATTGCTATTTTCATATTATTGGGGAACTGCCCAAGTCGAAACGACATGTTAAAAATATGGGTTAATGGTTTGCATATCCCCTCAATTACCCATTTAACAGTTGTCATAGTGAAACTATCACTAGATTTTTTGTTACCACATTTATTCACTATCTCTATAATTTCCTTTTCAACTACGGGCTTCATCATTCACAGAAATCGCTATCCAACTCAAAGATTACTGAGAACCTTGAAGATCATTATCTCAGAAGTCTTTATCTCAGGCACATATATACTTAAATGTATACTTCTCAAGCCTTAACCAAAACAGAAGAAGGTCTCAGAATGCACTATTAGTTCCTCTGTAATTAGTTTTAGGTAACAATTTTTAACAACAATTTTAGGTAACAACAGAGAAACAATTAAAGGACATAGAGTATTTTGGAGTTTTACTTGCAAGTAGGCTATGCATCAGGTCTCACATTTACCATGCAGTGCAATAGGTCTCAAGCCGCTTGTTAGGTGTGACGTAGCATTCCACTTCCGGGACCAATCTCCACTAGACCCAAACAGCAGAGCCTGTCATTGACTACACAAAGCTATAAAATGACAAGAATTGTTAACATTTGTCAGTTGATGAGAATTCCTTAGCTGATAATTGGTAACACTGACGTCTGCAAAGCAACATCTGGATAAGTCAGAGTGGCTTGTGCTGTGGACACAATCGTCAATGGTGTGTTTGTTAAAAAAAAAAAAAAAGGAGCAACATTTAATACCAACTGTTGAGCCTGGGTGTGAAAATACTCTGCTTTGTGGTTTTGTGTCACACGGGATTTAAATATCTTGCAGTTGGTCCAAAGTAAGAGAGAAAAAAAACAGCAGACCAGCTTCTACAACAGAACAATGATCCAATCCAGACCTCAAAATCCACCATGAACTACTTCAGGAAACCCAAGATGATGCTTTTGGAACAGCCCTCGCAGTCACACTCAGTGGAGAGAACAAGCTCTGTGCGCCAGACAGCCTAAAGATATTTCAGAACTTGAAGTGACCTGCAGGAAGAGGGGGTGAAAACTCCCAGCTCAAGAACAGAAGGAGTCTTGGTTACAAAAATGTTTACATGCTATGGGTTTGCGGGCAAATTTGCACAACTGTGCCATCGAACTAACCATAATCAAATATTCAGCTCATCACAGTTTTCCACACGAGGTGAAAAAGTATGCACCTGGCATTATCTTGGGGTTACACTTCTAAGCTGCTCTAGCCAGTCATGCATGTACAAGCATGTCTAATACAGTAGGTTTACATTCTCTACAGTCTATATACTGACTGCTGGGTGTGTTTCAGCTGCTACTGTTATTCCATGTGCTCTGGAAGGAGTGTCACTACTGAATAGACTTCATTTCAGTCACTGGTGGCAGCTCTGGTGGTCATCATCAGCTCAGATGTGTGTAACAAGATACCATATCTCTATTAGAGTGTATAGATCATGAGCAATGTTGCACAATCATGTCATAGCACCATGTAAGCATATAATAGCGCCCACGCATGGTGCAGGACTTGTGTGACAAATTCAGCTACAGGTATGAAGGTAAAAGGTAGTCACTGACAGGGTGTGTGTGAGGGGGTGTGTATGTATGATGAAATCCCTTTTCCTTATATCTATGCCAGAACTTGAAAGTAACATCAAGCCCTATGTATATTTAACCCACCTAACCTCCCTGGGCATGGTGAGGACCACCAACATCTCAGCTAGGACCGTGTTTACATGTAAATTTAACCTTTCATCACACTGTGTGTTGTGTGTGTTTGTAAGACACAGACAGGGAGAGAGAGAGGGAGGCGGGGTCTAGCAAGCGGATACCCTGCCCTGCCGTATTCTTAGAGAAGTTCTTTGCTGGATTCAATTTTATTTTTAGTTTCTCAACCGGGCCGGAAGAGCAGCACGTTTCGGGGGTGGACACGGACACCGAGACGCCTCTACAACAAATGCCCGTCCGTGTGGCACGTGCCAGTTACTGAGCGTGTTTTTACGCGAAGGAATAGGGAAGCGGCTCGGCGAGAAGGGACTTGTAGAGGGGATAAAGAGCTCTCTGGTCGCTCCCGGTATCCCGCCGCGACGGGATGGAGTGGCTGTGCGGACCTGAGCTGCCTTTCTGGGTGAGTACATTTACGTCCCCTGTTAAATTGTCATGACATCCGCGTATGTCACAAGAAACTAACTCCACTGGCGCTGTGTATACTTCGCGTACTCCCTGACAAGGTTGAGCAATGTTGTGTCGTCGGCTGCTTTTTATTTCCCCCATTCAAAAGTACAGAATCCGACCTAGCTAACGACAACTAAGGTACTTATTAACATTTATGGCGTTAACAAGCTCTTAATTAACATCATGTTTAATTAGCGTTGCTTTCGCTGTAAAGACACTGTGCAGTTCTTTCCCAAAGGATAAAACATAAACATAAACTACCACGTTTGGCTAAATGTTAATGTTATTGTAGTATTTGTTATGTACCCCCGGCTCATGGAGTCGGAAGTAGCTAATAGATAAACACACTGTAGTAATAAATATGTCTGCGCTGTTATCATCACATGGAGTGAGAATATTCACATTATGTACTGTGATTGAAATATCACAGAACACAAAATTTGTCACATTAACATTGGTATTTGGCTCCATAGACACCCTGTTAATAAGCATTCATATCATAGTAATAGTAGTAGTTTACTACTACTCAGCATTACCACACACACATTAAATCCCAGTGGGGATATTAAGAACCAAAATGCACAAATTCATATCTAATTAACATAAGATATGAACAAGTAATGAACAAGTAACATTTGGAAAAACTGTCAGTTTGTTGACTGTACATTAGTCTTCTTTTCATATCTTTACATTTGCCTGTATGTCGTATGTCAGTAGCTGCTTCACAGTAAAATCCTTACTTACTTTATAGCTTCTTGCTTTTGACAGCTTCTTGGAGGTTGAAAGACCTATACTGACTCGTGGTCATTTTGATAACTCGGCCAGTTTCAGCGTGTTGTGGAAATCTAGTGAATAACTGTGGTAAACTGTTGTGCGTGGAAATCCAGTGAATAACTGTGGTAAACTGTTGTGCGACCATATTATTAAGTAGTGGACAGCAAAAGAAAAGCTCCATAAGCCTACATTAATTGTTTTTCTGTCCACTTGTGGGCTTTGCAACAAGCTGTAAATGCAACAGTGATCTATTATAAATGTATAAATTTGTTATAGGAACATGTGTTTACACATTCGCCACACAGCATTCATTCTCGCCACCTGGCAAATGTACAGTACCGGTAGGTCCACGACCTTCACTGTCCTTTAACCGAACACGACCATCTCCTGAGAAAAATATCTTGCTTTTTTCATTGGCATTCTTCAGTATGTTCACCAGCTAGTTAGTTTGCCTGCACCTTTGGCACATGCCATACAGTGGTTATTCAGAGCTTGTTTGCTGAAAACAACTGTCTGTGTGAGCAGGAAATCAGGTCGATGAAGTTGGCGAGACTAAACCAAAGCAGTAAAGTTGCAGTGTTTTGAACCAAAACAGTGATCTTGAAACACTCTGTTGAGGTTAACTGCAGCTAGTGATCATTCTCTGTGGGTTAATCACTACAAGCGACATGTTTCACATTTTAATCTGTTATGCATATAAAATAATGGATTAGTGCAGCTTTAAATATACTCTAACAAATACTGTAAATACTAGTGTGATGAGCCCATTTAAGGTGGGTAGAGCCACATCAGTGTGACCCAGCCAATCCGAAGTACCACTACTACAGTGTTTTTGCCTCTATGCCATTCAGATTCTACCATGGCTTGGGGAAAATTTTATTTAAACTGTTCGCCTGTGGTATATTCTATTTGGCATGGGGTCTGTGCGACGTGGGGAAATTAGGGAACCTCTGGCCCACACTGCTGTGAAGAAACCCCTCTGTGAGCCAACCTCAAGAGCTTTGAAGACCCTGCACCTGACTTTCCTCTGGCTGGATATTGGCTCTTTTTCTAGGCTTTCCAAGGTGACCTACTTCAAAAGAAACTAGAGGCAGTTGTAATCCCCATCACTCAAGTATGCATGTTCAGCGTAGTCAGGTTACATACTAAGCCCTCGCCAAGGACTTTCTTGGGAATCTTATTGTTTGTATAAGGTGTTACACATAGCCTGTACCATGTTGCTGATATCACGGCGGATTTACATGAAAGATTTTCACATTCTTTGCTTCACCTTGACAAGGTCAAGATAAAAAAATACAGACCTGATTCAGACCTGTTTGATTTTATCCAAAAGCAAACAACGTTTATGAATCCAAATGTGGCTACTGTAAACAAAAATGTGCTAATCATTGACATTTACTGTAGATCAGCGTGACTATGTATATAATCTGTTCCCTAGGGCTGGGTGATTTATTTAACACCAGCTTTTTTAAAACTGCTGAGTCATTTTCTCAATTAATTCATTATATGTTTGGCTTATAAATGTCACAAAATAGTGACAGAAGTTCATCATAAGCCCCCACAGCCCAAGTTGAGATATGTAAATAATCCAAAATCCAAGGATGTTCAATTAGTGATGGATACAACTAGCAAATAAAAAGCTAGATGTGGCAATATTTGTTTTGTTTTTTGGTTTCTTTGGTTTAAAAATAACTTCTTATTTTCTGTCAAATCAGCGATTGATTAATTCACTAATTGTTTCTAATCAAACTCTAACATAATCTAGCTCCAGATTAGGGCTGCACAATTAGTTTTCTGAGTGTGATTTAAATCCCTGTGCAATATCAGTCTCATGTGACAATAATTCTACCATGTTTACCATTAGCACGGAGTTGCCTTGCATCAAACCAAGCACTTCTTTTCCTCGTTAAGATGCGTTAACCAGTAACCACAACTAATAAACACAAAGGGATTTATTTCTGCCTCAGCTGCTATTTGTCACTAGGTGTATAGGGCAGGAAGTGCAACGTTTCAAAAACAGTTGCAGGATGCCACAGAATATTTTCACAATGCCAAACATGCATGTTGTTTTGACTCCGTCTTCTGTTATTGTCTACAGCTTGTCATGTGATGTAATTCATTTTTCAAAAATGATTCAAACAGATTTTTGCTTCATTCACAAAAGAACTGAAACAATTGAATTCATATTCTGATCCCTTGAGATGCCACAAACGTCAGTACTACACTGCCATAGACCTACTGGTACCCAACCAGAGTAATTATGTCTTACTGTACAGGTTATATGAGAGAATAGGCTGTACAGAGATGTTAATCCTGTAGCCAATCAGTAACCATTTAGCCTAGCTGGTAACAATCACTATGCAATTCCCAAATATTCACTTTTTGGTGCTTAAAGATACTCAAAGATGCTTTACAAAGATTAACAATCAGTAAAACGTGCAGTAGTTACACATGCAAACACACAGATTTATGTTTCTACTGCGAGAAGTTAGTTCAGTAGAACACTTTCAGCCTGTTGTCAGCAGCTTGTACAGTTGTGTGTTGAAAGAAAGCTCAGCCAGAAAGGAGGAGCAGAGTAACCTGTGAGGTGTTATATAGGCCTACTCTAAGTCTGGGGTAGCTAGTCCTCAGTAGTTTGGCTTTGGATGCTGACAATGAATAGAAACTGAAAAATAGGATGTTGTTGCATTTGAAGAAGTCATAGTCATAATGACTAAGGAGTGTGTAGTGGGAAACTTCAGTGTTTCCCAGTAGTTAGTGTGTTTTTGTTATGGTGTGCTAGCTTTAACTGTAACTGAGATAGTGTCATGTAGAGACTACACAGTGTCAGATTATCTGTAGCTAAATATCACTGAGTCCAACAGAGTGAGATATCTTCACAAGTAAAACTATCAGTTGATCTCACATCAGTGATGGAAATGTAGCACATTCTGTGTGCACGCAAGTGGTTATGAAGATCTGTTGTCTGTTCATCTGTTACATTAAATATTACATCATAACTTTAATGAGCTTTTTTTTGTTTTGTTTTTTAACCCAAAGTACTGCCAGACAGACAAAGAGGTACTTTTAGCTTGCAGTACAATGTCAGCCCATTACACCCCGCCTGTTAACATTTTCTATTAACATTTTCTTCCTTAAGGGGAGATTCAATGCTGTTGGCAGGCTTGTCATTTTTAACTTTAATAAGCTGTATAAACATTTATTTCAAATGATGACTCCATCGGTCAACCAGCCACCTAGCTACCTGTGGCATCTAGATAACTGGAGTACTAACCATCGACTGTATAAAAAACTGACAACATGACAGCTCCCAGAAGTGAAGCCATCTTGAATCAGTGACCCCCTGGTGGCTGGTTGCAGTATAGGTCATAAATCCCACCTCTGCCATGTTAGTGGATGGGACATGAGCCAAAAAACCAACCCAAAGGTCAAATCACATACATTTTCCTCAGAGGTGGTTTCTGTTGTTTTAGGTAGATGTTATCAAGCTGATGTGTGGACAAGTGGTAATTTTCTGGTTAGCTTGTTTTCAGTAAGTCATTTGATGATATAAAAAGGGGTGTAACTCGGATGATTTGACAGCTTTGAGCTAGCATTAATTTAGCTCAGCAGCTAAGGGTAGACACAGCTGTCAACAGGATCAGTTTGGTCATTATAACCAGAAATGAAAAGACCAATTAGTAGTCATCACTAAATATAATGTCACTTTTGAATGTAATGATTAGATTGTAATGTGATGATCCCAGTGATGTAGTTATTGTCACTAAATGTGAACTACAGTGAAGTGGCCTGGTTTTCCAGATAACTTTCACTTCTGGTAAAATACTGATCACATTATTATCATTGGCACATGTGAGTCCTGATGAAAGGAAAGTACTTTTTCACCCTGTTATTCCTTTTCTTAAAAAGTCCCATGTCTTTAGTGTAATCAAAACTAAATGACTTAAATACAGCATACTATGTCTAGTTTCATTATTTTAATGTTATCTTAAAACACGTTTTCACAGTACAGTTATTTTGTCTCCCTTGGAATAAGCACATTAGGTAGAAATACCAATGGATACATTTGCTGCCCTTTTCAGCCAAACCTGGCTCAAACACTGCACCAGCACAATTGTAACATTTTCTGTTTTCACAGAAAATCCCCCAAATGTCATGTCTATTTCCTGAACTGAAAGA